TGCGTACAAGGTTGAACTCAGAAGCGTCCTCGAGAACGGGATGTCCAACAAAGGTTGCTTCCACCCCATACTCCCTACAAACCTTTTCCTCGTTTGGAAGAATGCAGAAAAGATGATCAACGAATTCAGACAGGCCTCCAAGTCTTGATGCTCCTCCTCTCCATGCCCAGAATGAAGGTGCAACATAGTGAAAATGTACAGGACAATTTTCCAAGCACTGCTGATTGTATCTAGCTGCAAAGCCAAAAAGCATTCCTCCGTTGTCCTACATGATATATGAGAATTTATTCAGGAAATCTTGGCTCCGAAAAACCATTTATAAGGTTTTCATTTCTTTAGTTTTTCAATTTATTCCACAGAAGAAAATCAAGCGCATAATCCTAGAGATTAGGTTCCTACAGGAGAAGAAGTTTTCATACATAGCACTTGGTACAATTTAACTTTTCTAATACTGCGATGATAAGGGACATTGTTTAGCAAGCATTATTGAATAGACCATATTCACTAAAGCTCAATTATTCCTAGGCATCAATTCTCTCTCTTACAAGTTTGAAGAGCAAAAGTTATGTTTTGTTTACCTCGTAACTCCTTAAGTAGACGGAAAGAGAAGCCCTTTGAATCAACCGTCACAACAACGTGTGGCTTGAACTTAGTGGCAGCATCAATGGTCTGCTTCAACTTCACCTAAAATTCTCAAAACTAGACTAGTAAATTAAAGGATCTATGAGTGATTTATATCAAAACATAAATCTCAATTCCGGGGTTAGATACTCACACGGAGTTTATAGAGATGCGGCAAGAGCTCCCACACACCCATTACTGCCAAATCCTCCATAGGAAACAACGAAGTCATTCCTTGCTTGCACATCAAGGATCTTGTACCGTATAAACATCAATTTGTTAGAAGCAGCAAAGATACAAATGCTCCAAAGGTACAGCAATACGAAAAGTTTGATTGAGAATCAACAAAATCTAAAGAGAATCTCTGTAATTAGGGAAGCCCAACTACTTACCCTCCAATTCCATGGAAACGGAGGGGTAAAGGAGACAGCTTTCTGAGCGAAGCCATAAGACGAGAGCCGATGTTATCGCCGGATACCTCGCCGGAGACGATGAAAACCCTCAGCTCCCCATCGACCGCCGCTCTATCAATCACCGATTTAGTAGATTGAAATGAGGAGAATCTCTTCGTGAATGCTGAGAAAGGGAAACAGAGATGTCTCTTTGAAACTCGAAACATCATCTTCCGACAAGACGGAGAACCAAAACCCCGAAGCTTGTTGAGGTTTGCAGGACAACAGTGACCAGCTGTGGTGGCCAGCGTTTATGGTGGAGTCTTATGGGCCTTTAAGCCCACTTCGATTTTTTGTAATTTCCTTCAAAATTTTTGTGATCTATAGAGAAACGAATTGCAGATATAGGGATTACAAGGGAAAACGGATTACAGGTGCATGCACTCTACGCTTGTGTCATCATAACAATATGTATCCGAATATTGTGTTTATAACAATCTGCACTCCTTTGTTTTTTGAATTTGCAACCCACATTACTGCAAAAATGCTTTGAACAATCCAATAGTAAACGGAGTTAAATTGTCTATTAAATGTTTGATGACTCATTAATTAGTAAAAATAACAGAATTTAATTTTTAAAATATTGATTATATAACATACAAAAACGTTGTCGTTTTTGGCATAAAGGAGAGATTAAAAAAAACGCATCTCTCTTTGTTTTTCTTTGTCGCGATCCAGAAGAAGAAAATTAGGATTATCGATCCTGCAATTAGGGGCTCTCTTTATCATGTCTTCTTCGTCTGGTTCAGATTAGTTTAAGGTTACAATTGTGTTCTAATTTTGCATATGAAACTGAAACTGAATTTTTGGTACGGAATGCAAGTTTTAGACCCAATCAAAGTGAAAGAGTGAGGGGATTTCCACAAATTTGTAGATGTGGTGGAGTTTCTTTTTGTTTAATGCTTTTATGCATATCTTTCGGCGGAATATTCTTATACTGATGGGTTTGATACGTTTTATTCTGCCAAAATCTTTTATTTGTTCTTTAGATAAGCTAGAATCCATTATGTATATATATACAGAGTGTGTCGTTGTATGTTGAGAGATAGTTTTGAGAAACTTTCAGGTATTTGGAGGAATTCTCAACTCAAATTCAGTCATGGGCTTGAAGTGTAAGTGTTAAATCTCCATCATGATGATAACTTTCTTTGTTTATGGTTTTATTGGTTCTCTTTGAGTAAGATTATAATTCAAAGTTCTGATTTCTCTAGTTAAACTTGTATTGTTTTTGTCTATAGATTCCAAAGTTTGCTAATAGTGCTTCAAGGCATGCATAATCACCATCTCGACATTGGTTCTTAATTTTCTTACACACTCAATTACATTTAAACCTTGTAACCTATATTTACATTTACCTCTAATAGACTCCTTCTAACCATTACTACCACACTCTTTTCGTGAGAAACATAATCGTCAAAATCTATAGATGTGATTAATTGGTATGATGAAGAATTGAGACAATTCATTTTTGTAGATGTATTCAAGAGGCTGAGGAAGCATCCTCTTAATGTCGCCAGTTAAAGTGACCATTTTTTTTATCAAGGTCGGTCCTTACGTATTTAGAATCCCAAAAAACCGAAAGTTGGGGGCTTCCGCTACACAGCAAACAAACAAAAAAAAACGCAGAGATAACGAAAACATAAAACTGAAACAAATGGAGCAGATAAATAGTCCAAAAAAATATTTAAATTAAGTGGGTCTCATTTAAGCTCATTTTTTTTGTTTTTCATCTGTTTTACACATTAAAAACTTGATAAACTATTGTTCCATTTTCTTAAATTTACATATATAATTTAAAAAAAAAAAATTAGAAAATTTTTGGAAATGTACCCAAGGGCATTTCAATTAGTTGTGCTCATGGCCGGCCATGCTTTTGGTTTTTGGGGACCTGAAAGGTAAAAGAAAAAAGACAAGCGAAGGTGTAAGAGTTTGGCCTAAAAAATAGTGGTCAGACACTACACTGGAATTGGAGACTGGTCCGATTAAATTTTATGGTCTTAGGTTTCTAATTTCTGCAATAACTATCACCATCTCAGAATCTGATTTAGGCTGATTATAGGATTATTGTTTACATAATTTTCATTTCCCTTGTGTTACTTTAGTTAAAATTGTATTCTTAATTTTCTCTCATTCCCATTATATATAAGAAAAATCAATAGTTACATTGTTTTATTGAAAAACTATACATAATAGATCCGCAGGCAGAAGAATAATATTTTTAGCTCTAAGACACAAATGGAAATGAAGAAAAAACTTAGTCTTGTTGTTGTTCTTGGTCTCTGATCGATTTCTCTCCTATGGTCACCGGCGTACAATCGGACTATAATTTATAATCCTATGACAAATCATGGATCGGCCGGCATGAGTTTGAGAGGAGTTACTTGGAGTTTTTCCTTTACCAGTCGACTGTACTACTGAGACTACTACAAAAGGTGATACAGAAGCTGAGGTGTGTGATTTGTGGAGAGGAGCTCGTATATTGATATTCACAAGCGTGGGTTGGACAGGAAATAGGAAAAGTATATTTACTTGGAGGAAAAGGAGAAAGAGATATATTTTAGAGAAAAAGAAGAAAAGGATAAATACAAGGAAGGAAAGTTTTTTAGGGTTAATCATTGCTCTATAGGTATATATAGAGGGAGGCTTGTGGCTGGAGTTTTCTCACGCCTCTTAGAAGAAAAATACAGAGAGATTGATTGAGAGAAGAAGGCGTCT